AATTGTTAGCTAATATAACATCTTAGGACAGAAAGAGTTAAAGTAACAACAGTCTGGGAGTGAAAGAGTTGAGCACTGCTTCTCTAGAAGGATACTAACTGCAAGAACTAACCTTAATGCTTCTAAAGGAACCATAATATCAACTGATGGCGGTTACAATGTTAGCAGTCAAGAGGGCCAGCTTGCTGCACCAAGTTTTATCCCATATGGCTCGCACTCTCTCTGCATAACTTCTAGCTGCCTGCGGAGAACATCGCACAAAGCATGAACTCTGTAGCTACGCTAACGATCACCAGGAATCACAGTAAAAACTGCACCCATGACCCAAACTATGCAGCCGTGAAACAAAACCATGACATTCAGAGTGTAAGGTAAACGGATTGACTTCATCCTAGAGAGCCTGGAATGATGATGGTGGTGTGATGATGACCATGGAGCTTAGTTTACATAAACTACACAACTATGAATGACACTGAACGTGCAGCAGGACAATTAACAAATTTCTAAAATCTGACAGTTTCTAAAACTTATATCTCAGACATCTCACGTACACATAAACATTTCCCTGCACTTTACAATAAGTACATGACATTTAAAGTGCTGCTGGACAATCTGACAGTTTCTAAAACTTATTATATCTCAGAGATCTCACGTACACAAACATTTTTCTGCACTTTACAATAAGTACATGACATTTAAAGTGCAGAAGGACAATCTGACAGTTTCTAAAACTTATTATATCTCAGAGATCTCACGTACACAAACATTTTTCTGCACTTTACAATAAGTACATGACATTTAAAGTGCAGCAGGACAATCTGACAGTTTCTAAAACTTATTATATCTCAGAGATCTCACGTACACAAACATTTTTCTGCACTTAGTTTATCACAGTCTGTTCGGAGTATCCACATAATGTAATATTGCACAGATACACTTTCACATTCCTGTTACCATCTATCCCTCTGTCTCACTTGTCCCATCTTTAATTCTCCCCAATATTGCTTATCTAAAAACCTCATTCTTCCTTCACACGTACCTTCCTTGAGTACCTAACCTTATACCTATTTAATTTGCCTGCCCAATACACAATTTTCTTCCTCTTTTACTTAATTCTCTTTCTAATATCACTTTTTAAAAAAATCAAATAATTCCTTTCTTGACTAGTGACCATTTAATTTCAGATTACCCATTACCTGTCCTGATTATTACCCAATTACATTTCTACTATTCATTTTCTTTTCTTACTACCAATTTCTTTTCTTACTATCCATTTCCTATTAAACAGTTCCCTTTCTTTTTTTCTTTTCTTTTTTCAAACATCTCACTCTCATATTCCTTCATTTCTCTTATAGTTTCTATATCCTATGTCTTCCTCACTCTTTACACTTCCATCTAAAATGTCTGTTTCCTGTGCCCCTAACATTTGTAAATTGTCCATGTCCTTCTCAAAACTCCCATTCCTCACAAATTATACCCCCCCCCCCCCCCCCCTTTTCAAATCTTGCCTTTTCCATTTATTTTCATTCCAGTTAATGTCAATTTTATTACCACCTATTCTATTTCCTCCACTTTCTTCTGTCTGTTTGTCATATCCTGAACATTTACTACTGCCTTTACATCCCCATCCCTTTCTTCATCTCCTCTTCTCAAAGTCTTTCCTTTCTACTCCCATTTCCTTCTCCTTCTAAATTCTCCCTTCTCCTGCGATACTTTCACAAATCACTGCTGTTACAAGCAACATCACACACTCCTGACCGCTCCCACAAGCAACATCACACACACCTGACCACTCCCACAAGCAACATCACACACACCTGACCACTCCCACAAGCAACATCACACACACACCTGACCGCTCCCACACCTGAGATCATAAATGATGCAAATGACAAAGACACATTCAATTAAGTGAAATGTACATAGCTGCCTCCAGTAAACAAGCAGAAGATTTGCAAAACAGACGGCTAACTGTCTTACAAGTAACCCTGTCTAGCACAGAGCTTATCTGACTAACTAAGAACTGCTCACTTCAAAATGTTAAACAATACTGAATTCAACGTTCCTTGAAGGTAGGCAAGAACTTTATAATGCAACTTCTATAAATCTGCTTCGCAACTTAACAGCCATATTGCAAAGGTTTCCAGTGTTAAACAAAACATTGTAAAATTAAAAAGCCAATCAAAATGATCACAAATTTAAAATAAGTCTACATAAAGTTCTAAAATGCCTAAAAGAATATGCAACTAAAACTGGTAACTGAAAGTTTCAAGAAACAGGACAACATCTATATGACTCGTTCAGTTTTAATGCTTCCTCATGCTTCAAAGTTTCATTATGGGCACTTAAATGCTTCATGCATCATCATCATCATCACTGTCATCACCAACAAGAAATTTCTTGGCCACATATGTAATTTCTTGCTTAGGTCTTCTTATGATGCACTGTAACAGAATAAAATGATAACATTACTAAGCTATAATATCCGTAACATAATGTAACAATAACATTACTTAAATAATTTCTTTAATAGAATGAAGTAACATTATTTAACTGCGCTATCTGTAACAGAATGTAATAACATTACTTTAATAATTTCTTTAATAGAATGAAGTAACATTATTTAACTGCGCTATCTGTAACAGAATGTAACAACAACATTACTTTTTTAGCATCTTTATTAATGTTGTGTGCAATATATGGGTATATGAAAGGGAAGTTAATTATTGAACGTAAACACTTGGTGCGGTGCAGGACACATTGAACGCAATGTGAAGAGAGAGAAAAAAACGGTTGGCTCCAAGTCCCCGGAGAGGAAGGATGCGGTGATGTAGGTTCTAGTCTGGGTGTTGCCAGACTAGTCCTGCACACCCGTATGTTGCGCTGGCGTTAGGCATACAGGCTATCGGCGAGAGATGCCGCAGAGACCGGGCCAGCGTGACAGAAGCTCGTGTGGTGAGATGGGAGATCTCAAGTACGTGTCAGGCCGCAGACGGAAGGTCTGGATAATCTTCACAAGGTATTGTGCATCGGCCTGTATGATCCTTCTAGTGATAGTGTACCCAAGGGATGGGTGTCATAGAGACAGACACGTACTCACGAGCAGTGGGTTTGCACGAGCAGGAGCAGGTAATGTTTGCTCGTTGTTAACCACGGAACAGGGTGGCAGTAGAAGTAGCCCAGAGCGTCCGGAGTGTGTGTTGCCTTGCCAGTAGGAATTACTGTGGCAGTATAGAAATTCATGTGGATTCATTGTCTTGGTTTTGAAATACATTAATTATATTTTGACGTTCAACATGTATCCAGCGTCCTTTATTGCTGTTGGGCGGGAGTGGTGACTTTGATCTGTAACACTATTAAGCATACCTGGATACTTGGCAAGTGTGCGGTGCATCAAGCGAGCATTTCGCACGCGTCAATTAAAATGAAATAACATTATTTGACTACACTGTAAGGGAATGCAATAACAACATTACTAAACTATAATATCTGTAACAGAATGTAATATTAACATTACTTAACTATAATATCTATAACAGCCTGAAATAACAGCATTACTTAACTATAACTAACAGTAACTCACTGATAAACTGGGCCTCAGGCTAACATAGTGGCTATATATACAGTGGAATCTCAACTTATAAACTCTGCATACAAACTTTTCCAGATGCAAACTTTTTATATCAAATTTTGACCTTTTCATACAGATGCAGATGAGTTGATTCAAGAACCGACATCACAGCACTCGGGGCATTCCCATAAGCGCTCCGTCCCCATCTTCAGCAGCCAATGAAGATTTCCTATACTAATGGTGCCAGTAGCATTCTGATTAAATGTCCGTCTTGCCGTTCCTCTGAGCTCGAGTATCTGCCAGAACCTCTCATCACTCCCACCTACATCAGTCTCACCAGACTGGTGATCCGTCTGCTCCTCCGAACTGTACACGCTCTCCCACAAGGCACTAACCCTGTCTGCCTTATCATGCATCAGTATTCCACCAAGTTGTGCAGAGCCAGCCAGTCTGTCCGACTGTTCATTTCCCAACATACCGGCGTCTCCCGGTGAACAAATCCAGATTCGAGATGCAAACTTTCTTGACATCACATTTTGACCTCTACATACAGATGCAGATTTGAGATACAAACCGTAATGAACTGCCCATGAATGCGATTTATTGTTACTGAAATATTAGTGGAGTGTGCGACCCATGCTTATTTGACTATGTGTGTGCAGTGTTTGTATGGCGTGTGTGTGGCATTTCTGTGCTGTGGGTGAGTAGTGTAGGTGTGTTTGGTGGTGTGGCTGTTGGTGGTGTGGCACGGTGTAGGTGTGTGTGTGTGGTTGTGGGTGAGTCTCCTTTGAGGTCAGAGTGCATCTGCCTGAGAGGCATAACATAAAATAACCCTTGACCCATTAGGGTTGTGGAGGTGTATTGATGGAAGCACTAGTACATAAAACCGCCCATCTGTCTCTGTCTTCCGCTTGATGAATAAGTGTATGATAACTTAGTCCTGTCCATTTCTTGATGTTGTAATTCCAGATTCTTCTTTGACCCCCCCCCCCCCCCCCCCCCCCCCCCCCCCCCCCCCCAATGTTCTTTGAAGTAGTCTTTACAACTGAATCATGTCTAACCACGTGCTCAAACCAAGCTAGCTTGCGAGACACATGGAACCACTTCAGTAACTAATATTTTCACTCCCGGGCCTGGCATCCTTGAACATACTAAAATAAAAGAAGCAATGTTAAATTCTAGATTTCTGCTACTCTTTATCCCCTAATAGGGCAAAAACCCTCAACCAGCTCAAGCCAAGTCACTCTACCCTTTGCTATCACATGCAGCTCACCCCATGTCCTCCCTAACCCCAACACTCCACTCTATCCCTGGTGTGCCTCTCTTCCTTTGACCCAGTTGGTTTCCCTGCAAAGACATTCTTTTTACATTGTTATCAGACTTATTTTTTTTAAGTGTGTCCCCTCCAACACGCCCTTCTCACAGGGATCTATATAATTCTCAGGTGTGGTGGACTTACCGACCACTTGAGTGGCTCCTTCTCTGCAAAGACACAGCACTCCACTTGGGTGAAGAGTGTGATCAGATGCTTTGTTGAGCGTTTACACTGGTCATCAGCTTTCCACTCTATCACCAGCTCAGGGCACTTCATGTTCTTCCGGAAGGTATATGACTTCAGGGGCAGTTGCTGTGGAAATACATAAAATGTACAAATAAATAAAGAACTATATTGTCAAAGGTCATAAACTGAGCATGACAACCAATCACGTCTTTCACATAGTAATTGTACTTAACACCGCTGGCCTGGGAAATAAAACAGAAGAGATTATTGAAATGATGGAAAAAAGGAAAATCAAGTTAATGGGGCTAGCTGACATAAGACGCAAGGGAAATATTAATAAGAAAATACACAGAGGCTACTTACTAACATATGCAGGAGGAGAAACATCGAAGAATGGAGTGGGTTTCCTGGTACATCCAGACATATCTAACTACATATTAGACATACATTATCACTCAGATAGAATTATTACTTTGAAAATTTAAAAGAGGAGAACAAGCTGAAACATATATACAGATATATGCGCCATGCAATGATAATTATACAGAAGAGCAGAAAGATGAATTCTTTGACGATCTGTCTGATGAGATGAAGAAAGTTGAGGGAAGCAGCATACTATATGTAATGGGGTGACTTCAACGGGAGGGGTAGGAAATAACAGAAGAGAATACGAACAATTTTTAGGTCCACATGCAGCTAAGAACAGTGCTAGAAATGGAAATGGTCAAAGAATATTGGATCTATGCAGCCAGCACAATCTTTTTATTACGAACACATTCTTTGACCATAGAGATTCACAACTTTACACTTGGTACAAATGGAATGATATCTCCATCAAGAGCCAGATTGACTTTATACTTAACCAGAGTTCAAGGAAGAAGGAGAATTCTTGATTCAAGAGCAATCCCTAATGGTCTATGTGACACTGACCATAAAATAGTTGTGTTAACAGCAAAACATCTTACATTAAAGAAACACAGAAAGAAATTAAACAAAAACAAGGATCTCATCAAGATAGCAAATCTGAAACAGGAAGGAGTAAAAGAACAGTTACAACAGAAAGTAGAGACAGCATTCAAACAACTTCCACATGTAGTTGGCAATATTGAGGAAGAATGGAGTATATATAAAAACACTATGCTTAGTATTGCAGAAGAATTATGTGGAAAACGGAAGAGTGGAAACAGACGGGGAAATAACAAAATATTCACCTTGGTGGTGCGAAGAAGTAAAAGAAGCAATTAAAAAGAAAAAATACTTTTATAAACAGTGGATAAAAATCAAAGAAAGAAGAAGATTATATAAACTATAGACTGCAAAGGAGAGAAACCAACAGGAGTGTCAAGAAAGCAAAAACAAGCATCCTGGGAACGTTTCGGTGAGTCACTAGCAGAAAATGAGAAAACAGCCAGCAGAAAATTTTTCAAAGTGGTTAAAAATATGCGGAAAAGAGATGAGAGCTACAACCCCACTGAAATAATTAATGATAAGACAGGAAGGCCATTGATAGATCCACCCGAGATTGCAGAAAGATGGAGGAAATACTTCAATGAGCTCTTTAATCCTCTAGGAGATCATCAGGAAAGAACAACTGAAGAGCACAGAGCAACAGTGTTAGAACCACACATACTAATGGATGAAATAGAAAAAGTCATTAAACAGTCTCCCAAATATAAAGCACCAGGAGCTGATAGATTACCAACAGAAATAATTCAAGCAGCAGGTGAAAGCAGCATCAGATGGCTTCACAGAATATTCAATGTAGCATGGGTACAACAAACAGCCCCTATTGATTGGCAACATGCAATAGTTATACCATTGTGGAAAAACAAAGGAAGCAAACGAGAATGCGGTCAATATCAAGGCATCTCTCTTTTAAGCCATGTTGGCAAAATGTATGCCAAGATAATAGAAACAAGACTGAGACCAGTGATAGAACCACAGCTGGCAGAAGAACAGATGGGATTTAGGAGAAATAGAAGCTGCACAGATGCAATCTTCACACTTAAACAGTTAATAGAAAAGAACATTGAATTCAATAAGAACTTATTTGTGGCATTCATAGACCAGGAGAAGGCATTTGACAGAGTCAACAGACAATTATTATGGAAAATAATGGCAAGATATGGAGTAAGCGAACACCTCATCGAAGTGTGCAAAAGTTTATACAGGGATTGTAGAAGTGTAGTTAGAATAAATCAGGGAACATCTCATCCTTTCACAGTGACATCTGGAGTAAGACAGGGGTGTGTCTTATCACCACTGCTGTTTATCACCTACATCGACAGTATATGCAAGAATGCCAAGCCCATGAATAAAGATCTTAGTAAGATCAACAAATTACTCTTTGCAGATGACCAGGCCTTGATAGCAGATACATCCATGAAATTGCAACAACATCTAACATCCATGAATGAAGAATGTAAAACAAATAATATGAAAATCAACACTGAAAAGACAGAAGTAATGTCAATAGGAAAAAAGAAGACAGATCTAAACATAACAATAGAATACAAAGGCATTAAACAGGCATCTGAGTTTAAATATCTGGGAACTACATTTACCGAAAATGGGAAATTGGATAAAGAAATTGACATTAGATGCAGTCAAGCAAACCAAGTATTGGGACAGCTAGCCCCCCTCTTACAGCATAAGACAATCCCAGTCAGCACAAAGAGACATTCAAAGCATATTTATTCCAACTCTGTGCTACCAGTGCCAGACATGGTCACTCACAACAAACCATAAAAGAAAATTAGTAACCACGGAAATGAGATGTCTGAGAAGGGCTGTAGGAGTGACCATAAGAGATAAGATCAGAAATGAGATCATAAGAGAACAAGTCGGCACAGAACCAATTCTGGATTACATACAAAGACAGCAAGTGAAATGGTTTGCCCACTTAGAGAGAATGCCTTGTGACACAAAGCATACATGGGAAGAGAAGAAGGACGTAGAGCACGGGGTAGACCAAGAACAAGATGGAAGGATAACATCAGAGAAACTCTACAACAGCACGATGTGCCTATGGTCGAGGCAGCCAGAAGAGCTAGAAACAGAACCTTATATCTCCCTCAACACCCACAGCGGTAAAAGAGGAAGTGAAGAAGAAGAAGAAGAAGAATTGTACTACTGTAAGTATCATTCATATTCAGTTCATTCAGTAATAAACAAAATATGACGACTATGTGGACACAAATACATGTCATTGGGGATGGGGGAAGGGGGGGGGGAACAAATACACTCTCACAGAGGAGGAAAAAGACACACATACAAAACAAAGAAAGCAAGCTAGAGAGAGTGTAAGAGAAAGACAGAGAATATGAGAGAGAGAGATAGAGAGATAGTGGGGTGAGAGCAGGAGAGAGCAAGAATGAGAGACAATGCAAGAGAGTGAGAGCCAGACCTCTTGAATAACCATTACTTTCATTACAGACAAAAAGAATGAAAAGGAAGAGCTAAAAAGAGGCAAACAAGAAAGGAAAAGAAAAATGAGGATTAAGTACGACAGGAGGAAGAAGAGGAAGACTAGAAACAGAAAGTGACCAATATTAAAATGAAGAGGGGTGAGGATGATATTGACATCACTCACTGAGTGTTGACTGGTCTCAAAAAGAATGAAGCTACCTGACGCACCTAACACTATTTAAAAGTGTGGAAAAATAGTCTTTTACCAAACCGAAGTCGGAACCTATTTTTAAAAAAAATAACACACACACAGAAGCTAATAAATAAGTTAGAGGGAGGGATGGAGAAAAAACAACCATATTTAGATGGTGTTACAAGAGCTGCAGAAGTTCTTGCAGTGAAATAAAATCTCTATTGCCTTTATGGTCATCTTCATTAAAAAATATTTAAATTAAAAAAAAAAAAAAAAAACGTTACTGCCTTTAGTTACCACTTAGTTGTGTAGGACTGGAAAAGTTGGGAGGTCATGAGCTGTGGATTTAAGGCTAAATGGCTAGTGCAGTCACCACAATTGTGCAGATCAAGGTTTTTTGTTTTTTTTCCTTGACCTAAAAATTCTCCATTCCTTACTGAGGATTGAATATGAGTCTCCTGCATTAACTCTTTGAGTCCCAAGGAACGCATCATACGTTCATAGGTTACTGCCTAGAAGGCTAATAAACGCATAATGCGCCGATTTTACATCTCTCTTGACTACCTCTTAGGCCTATGATGCTAAACCCTCTGGGACTCAAAGAGTTAAAGCTCTGCAACCTAACCCCATGGCCAGCCACTCCTCTAGCCTTATAAAATCACATGGAAAAAATATCAGGAAAATATAATTAACCATTATCATACCAAAGCTCGCCTCTTTTGCTATCTTCTACAGTTTCTTACGCTATCTTTGACAGTTTCCTTTGTATCTCTCCATATCATTTAGTTTTTCTCTAATTCTATTCACAATATAGACTTAGATCTAATTATTTTACCCTGGGGGTTCCAGAGAAAGGACTTTCTAATTATACTATTACCAGGTGTTTAAATGTATCTCCTATCCAGTGTCTGATAACTGTACTTACCTCCAGGTAAACTCGCTTGACAACCCCAAGTTTCAGGATAAGCACATCAAAGGACTTGTTGAGTACTGCCATCACCATGCCTAATTCTTCTAGAGGACCAGCCTCCTGTAATCATATTATTTACATGTGTACAATAACAACCAAGAAGAAGCAGAGAGATACTGACATACTAAAAGATCTGAACATCAAGGAAGACTGGCTAGTAAAGAGCATGACGTCTTGGAAACTAACACATTTTGGCTATATAAAGCACCACAGCAGATTAGAAATAATAACGGAAGGTACCAGGAAGAAGGGGCAGGGTCCCACAGGCACAAAGATGGGAACAGGATATAAATGTAGTAGGAAAGTGCATGAGGTGGGAGAACCGGTGAGTGACTGAATTTATCCAGGCAGGTTTGATGAGAATGAAGTTCTGAAAAGGACCTGCTTCATGATGATGATACATTAGGAAAATTAAAACATTAGAATCCAATTGTACAGTTTAAAGTTGAGATGACTGACTTCTCTAACGTCAGGTTTCTATCTTATATGGCTTAGTTTCTCTTCTAAATACAGCTGGCCACCTGCCAGAAGCATGAGCTCTGTCGCACTAGTAATCATTACCCATGGATCTCCACAACATCCCCCCCCCCCCTCTCTCATATATATATATATATATATATATATATATATATATATATATATATATATATATATATAAAGGGAAGTCAACAAGTCAGTCACAAATGGTTGTTTAAAAAAAAAAAAAACTACAGACAATAACAACATGGAAACTGTTTTTTTTTTCTTACACATACATTGTCCCTTTATTTTTCCATCGTTTTATCAGTCTTCCCAAAGCGGCTGGACAGAACTGAATGCTCTGTTTTCGAAACCATTTTCTCTTCCCATTCAACTTCTGTGTCATTCGCAAAATCTCTCCCGCCAAGGTGGATTTTCAGTGGACAAAAAGGTAGAAATGGCTAGGGGCTAAGTCGGGGCTGTAAACTGTATTATCCAGAAGTTCCCACCCAAGATGGTTAACTTTCTCCTGAGATAACCAAGCCGTATGTGGTCCGGCATTGTTATGAAGAAGCAGAACTCCTCTAGTCAACAGGCCTGGACGTTTTCTTCGAATTTGATACCCCCCTCCCCCAACATACCGCACAACAGCATGTTGTTCTTTGAGGGTACACTCTGTAAGTACAGTCACCATTTTGTTCCTGTGTTGCCAAAACACATGCAACACCTAGCACCACCTAACGATCGGAGAAAGTTTGATGTTGCTGTCACCCATTGACACCTTTAGCAACCACCAACTACATTTTTCTGCCATCCCATAACCATTTGTGACTTACTTATTGACTTCCCCTTGCATATACGAGGGAAAGTCATTAGGTAAAGGCAACTGTATTAATAAAGCTTTTTACACGATACCAGAACAAATTTGTTCTGTGTCCTATGTCTTGACAGTCTCCCTGCCTTGCAACATACCTATTCCACTGATCTACAAAATTGTGGATGTCCGCCAGGTAGAAGCTTTTGAGTGTGGCCAGTAACCAAGTTACAGAGAAAATCTCTGACCCCGCAAATGTTTTTTTTTTCCAATGGGAAAAACACATGAAAGTCCAACGATGCCAAGTCAGGGCTACATGCTGGATGTTACAATACTTCATACTGCAGAGTCTGTAGTGTAGCCACTGTATGCTCAGCCGTATAGGACGGGCCCACAAAAAATTAATATTTCCTTGCTCTTCCAAAGTGCATGTTAACAGTGCTGCAGCCATCTTGTACAAGCAGCTGCGAAAACGCATACTGCTAAAGTGTCATGACATGTACTTTGAGTATTGGAAATAGACCATACTGTGTCCTGAAATAAATTTTTTTTTTCTGCTTATTGTTCTATGCAGACTTGGATACAACTGACTTTACTTAATGACTTCTCCTTGTGTGTAATCAGACACAGAGACCAACACACAGCCAGACAGATGCACACACAGAGATACATGCACACATATACAGACACACACACACAGAGAGAGAAGGGGGAGGGGGGGGGAGAGCGAGAGAGTGGGAGTGGAACCTTAGGATACAAATTTAATGTTCCATGATTGTGAACTAGTATGATGAATAACTCGTACCCTGAAACTATTTTTCCCCCCTTAAAATTACTGTAAATAATTTTAATTCGCGCAAGCTCTCCAAAAATAACTATATTAGTTTGAAAATTAGACATTTTTCATTTCGTTAACAGGGAAAATGTGGGGCACTTATTCGCTACCCCCCCCCCCCCCCCCCCCCCCCCAACCCAGCAGCAGCAGAAAATGAGGTTACTTCTGACCACGAGGCTATAGTCCCACATCATCAAGATTTCAGAGTGTCAGAAACTGTGTATACAACACAGCTAATTCAGAGAAGATCGTAAGGCAGGGCAGGAAAATAATGGAAAGATAACATTAGGGCAGACTTCCAGACACTCAGAGTCACCAATTGGAGATGAATGGAGCTGGATATCTGAAGCAGTGAGCCTCAGAGGCTCGGAATACTGAGGAAATTGGTCGACACTCATCCAGATCCTTGCCAGTTCAGGTAACCCATGTCGAGGTTCTTCTATGTGTGAGTTGAGGCTGAAGACACTTGTGGTGGTATGTATGTACATAATTATTTTTTTTAAACAAATTTACAAAAAACATAGGCAACCCAACCTTGACGAAGATAGCAAAATACATATCACTGCTCCGATCGGATGCCATCTTGGCGCTCTGTTTTTTATCATTGCAGTAATCTGCTTGCTTCTGTAGCAGCTCAGTGACTTTGTCTGTGGGGTCAGAGTATCCTGTGGAGAGTAATGGATCAGAACATGTGGGAATCTGTATTTACTAGAAACTGGTACAATATGACCAGGAAATCTTTAACCGAATGATTTCAAATACTCTTTATTCCCAGTGTAGAGTGTGGGGTTAGATCCACTACCTTCTAACCAGCATATCATAAAGTAAAGATCCCTTTTCACGCCTTTAGGCGCATCGGGTATATGGGAAGAACACCCATATTTTTACAGACCAATTGGCACTCAGTGGGTAATGTGGTCAGCATTGCATCGGCAGTCTTTATTTCCCCAGGACACACACCCTGGTACCCATTTGAGGCTGGGTCGACCTGTGACGTCCCATACCATGATAAAAATTCACGCAGCCCGCAGTGGGTTTCGATCACGGTACGTTGGATTACGAGTCGGACTCGCAACGCCTAAGCCACGGACGCCGCTCAGCATATCACACATGGTGATTAATTAGGACTTTGGTGAAACTGGATGTGTTGGGCTAAAAGGTTCAGATATCACAACCGGTACATTACGCGATGAGCGGCCCACCAATGAGAATGACTTTCCCTCCCACTGATGCCTCGATCTGGTGTAGTGCCTGCACTATGTATGTCGCAGGGGTGTGTGGGGTAAACGCTTTCACTGTTGCCTCTTTTCTCATTTTTTCACCACTCACTCCTGTGAATATTTCCACCTCTGTTACCTGTCCGACGATTCGGGAATATGGAAATTGCAATATTATTCTATTCCTACGTTTCATGTAACTGCTTTCTACCTCTCGGGGAAAAGCACCATCAACAAACCTAGAAATACAAAAACATCCCAGTTTCAACAGCCAAGAATCATTGCACCTGCGGCACTTCCCCCAACAGTACTTCTTACTTGTACACACACCTGTAATAAACTCAAAACAACAAAACCTCCCCCAAACATTAAATATGCTGAGCGAACCCCAAACCAAGCAATATCATAACACCCACACACACATAGGCGAGGTCCACGAATGGCAAGGAAAGTCACTCTAATCCTGGGCCTGTTATCGTGAACAGTAATTCACATCCTAGCTGTTAAGCACGATACAATGTGCCAATTGACCTATCAAGGGTGAACACAAAAGACAAACTCTACACCCCACCTGGTACAGACAAAAAAAAATGTTTGCTGTGCCAGGGAAACTTACAATTTCAGATTTTTAACAAATATTTTTTTAAACAGCAGTCCACAGTCAGTAGGACTTCGACAGACGTTTGAACCAAGGTTTTCATATAGCAGGATATTCATCCAGCAGGTTTTACTCATGTTCCAAATTAGTTTTCTGATGGATGTTAATGGAGGTTATCGCAGATACATTGGGGGAGGCCTGATAAGGGTCAGAGGGTGTCTGGGCACTGCATCTCTGGAGGCCACCAACTCAAAAGATCCCTTGCCAGTTCAGTTCATGCTCATATGAGCCATTATCAGTGGCACATAATGGTGACAGGTGTCAGGAGTCTTCCATGAAGATTCGCAAAATCAGCAGAGCCTGTTGGTGCACCAGGTGAGGTATGAAGTATCTCATTATACACTTCACAATGGCCTTCACTCTTTGAGTCCCAAGGAACACATCATACGTTCATAGATTCCTACCAAGAAGCCCAATGAACGCAAGATGCGCTGATTTTACGTCTCTCTTGACTACCCCTTGGGCCTGTGATGCTAAACCCTCTGGGACTCGAAGAGTTATCTTTCCCTCATGCCTGTGAGTGAACTCATCAGGCCACCTCCTTGTCTGCAATCTTGATTTTAAATCAGATTGTTGTTAAGACGAAGCCCCTGCGATGGCAGAAGTTGTGGTTGCATCCTAACTAGATAACCAAACCACAGTTTTCTTCTATACAATGAATATAATGTAAAAACAAGAAACAAACACAACTCACTCACCCAGTGAGGCAGCAAGCAACCTGTGCACCATAATATCCGGGTAGCGTCTGATGGGAGAGGTGAAGTGGGTGTAGAGAGGCACATTCAAGGCATAATGGTGGTACAAGGTTTCATCTGGGAATGTGCCGGAGCAAAAGTATTTTGGCATTCTGTGGGAGATGATAGCAAAAAAGACAATAGCATAATTCTGTACAGTTCATGCTGTAATTAGGTAGCTTTTCTTCTAAACCAATCATATGATCACTAACGAAGCTTAACCCTCAACCAATGCATGCAGCTAATGCCCATTCATCACCCCCACCCCCATCTTATTTACCTCAATCTTCGATTCAATTCTCCTTGTGTGAGTGTGTGCTATGTTTGTTAGTTAATTGACAGATTATCATCATGGCACATTGAACCATTCAGTCCACAAGTGCTCAGATCCCCTCTTCAGTATTCTCCCTCAGCATGTAGTGGTTTTTATAACACGTTCTGTGCTGGTTTACAATTCTTCTTTGGGGCCCCTGTATAGCGCTCTTGTCTGGCTTCACCCTTTTTGATTTTATGTTCCTGTAGTCTCATCAGTGTTGCAGATTCACAATCATTACTTGCTTTGTTTAATTGAGCCACCTCTTTAAGGACATTCAGTGCTTCAGCCCTGTCCATTGCTCGCCCGTTTCACCTTTGTGTTGTGTGTGTGGACTCATCTCCTCTAGAAATGTCTTATTAAAAAATACCGCTCCCAGTCCATATAGAGAATCCATCACTGGCATGAGAAAGTTCTTTTCTTTCTGAATCTACCAGACACACCCCTCCCCCTCAACCACCAGCTCCGTCTACATTAGTATTAACTGCAAATATTATTTCCTTATTTCTAACTTTCATCTTTTCTGGTCTCTTCATTTTTAACTTTCATCTTTTCTGGTCTCTTCATTTCTAACTTTCATCTTTTCTGGTCCCTTCATTTCTAACTTTCATCTTTTCTGGTCTCTTCATTTCTAACTTTCATCTTTTCTGGTCTCTTCATTTCTAACTTTCATCTTTTCTGGTCTCTTCATTTCTAACTTTCATCTTTTCTGGTCTCTTCATTTCTAACTTTCATCTTTTCTGGTCTCTTCATTTCTAACTTTCATCTTTTCTGGTCTCTTCATTTCTAACTTTCATCTTTTCTGGTCTCTTCATTTCTAACTTTCATCTTTTCTGGTCTTCTCTCAGTACTGGTTACTCAAATATCTCATTTCAGTTATTTCCTCATTTCTGTACCCTTTGTTTACAAATGGAAATGACACAAACTCAACACCTGTGATTAGGTTTCAAAAGATAAAGTTATGAAAACTGAAATCTAACCTGCATAGGTTTTGAGATCAGTACAACCAGGACTTGTATTCTTGCCAAGTTGAAGTCATCCTCCCCGTAATATTTCCACAGGGATTTCTGTTAAATATACATCATATGAGCTCATTTGCTGTGATGCCGGAACCGTAACAACTAACTAACAACATATAATAATTTACATTAGAATAAATGTATAAATTTGAGCAAATGGCCAAGGGGTTAATATTGTTAGGCTCTCATTTGGAAGACCGTATGAACTCACCGCAAGGTCTGGTCATGGCCAGCTCCAGATATAAGGCCATACAGCTCAAACCGGAATTGGCGTTTCTGTGAGGCTGGCGTGGCCGGTCGGTGATAATTGTTATCGAGTAGGTTTATACACAAATTGAACTACAGTTTAATTAATTTGCAACATGCGTTATTACATGAATTATCATTCTGAAGATAAATAAATGGGCTTTTAGAAAATACTGAACGCCTTCATAAGCTGGCAAGGCACTTGATGATGATGATGACCATGTTTTATGGCTGGTCGTGAGCCTAAACTCCACTTGGGGTTCTAGGGCCTTATTTCATGGGGAATAAAGACGGGGGGGGGGGGGGGGGGGGGGGGGGGGGGGGGGGGGGGGGGGGGGGGGGGGCATACCCACTGCCCCTAACAGGCATGTTGTAAGAGAGGCCTAATTAGGAATTTGTTAAATTAGATATGTTGGGTTGAAAGATGCGGATACCTAGCTGTTAACAAAAACAAAATATGCCAACCACCCTTTTAAAAGTGAATCCAGAAGAAGACCCTAATGAATAAATCAAGTTAAATCTTCTGAGATCCACACAATGGCTTGCCTAAGTGTCCAAGCCCTATCAATATAAACTTACCAATTTTACCTTAAATGATTATTACCTGCAGTTCACCAGCAGATGCTCCATTGATCTCCAGTCCCAAATTACCACAAAGTTCTTCCTGTGAAGGGGAATAATGATCGCTAAGTATTAAAAAAAAAAATCACACAATCTCTCCTTCACAAATTACAGTGATTTAAAGAAAAACAACAAAAGGGCCAAGATACATTTTATCGTTGAATATTTTAAAATTATTATCACCGTGTACTCTGCCTAAAGCTGCTCTCATTAGAGTCAACTGGAAATGTTTGAATCTTTTGTCAGTGCCCCAGCTTTAAAGATTTCCTTTAACAACTGCCATGATGAGTATCTCTGGATAAATAATGTGGTTTTCCCTTGCATTCACAACCTTTGGATTATTTCCTCAGTCTTTAGCAATCTTTCAAGCTACCAAGGTAAGTTACTATTCTACTCTGTGGTACACTCACTATATACAGACAGCATCCCAGAGTGGTTCACCTATCCTAGCCATGTAATATCAATGAATGTGCAGAGAAGCATCACCCAAAACAAAGCTAAACAAGCCATGATAGCACTGTTTAGAACTTCCTGAGAAGGCATAATAACATAATAACATGCCAATAATAACAGTAGTTTCTTTTTTTTTTTTTTTTTTTTTTGACGGCAACGGATTAGTCATTCTCCCTTTATTTTTTAAGGGAAAATTCATTTGGTGTAACGTACTGTTTCATGTACATCCAAGGAACGTGAAAAAATTAAGTATGTATACTGAGGCACCGTCACATTCTAAAATCTTGCAAGAATAAGTCTAAAAAAAGAAGAAGACTAAGTCCATGAAGAATAAGGGATAATAAGGATAAAATCTAACATGGGATCAGTTAATAAAAAAAAAAGACAAGCCCATGAGGAATATGATACAATGAGGAAAACATCTAATATGGACAGCAAAGTAAAAGACAAAGTGTAACAAGGATTCAGTTTAACATGAATAAAGCCTAACATGGACAGTCAAAAAAGGGTGAAGTAGGATAAAGTCTATTTACTATAAAGCCGAATAAGGGTAAGGTCTAATAAAGATCTGCTAATCAGGATAAAGTTAAACAAGGACAGTTTAATAAATATAACTTCTAACAAAGTTGATGTGAAAGAATGTTAAAGCATCATCATCATCATGTACCAGGTCTTTTGCAGAACGTCATGCACCTTTTAGGCTTTCCAGACATTAGTATTATACTGAGCTATGTGGAAGCATGGGACTCATAGACTATGGCGATGGCGAGTGTGACTAGCAAGATCTGCCTGCATTAAGTAAAGTCTTTCACAATTTCAGGACCGTTGTCAATATTTGTGCTGAGTCTGTTTCTTCTCAGACAGTCATCTCTCATCTTTTCTGCAATCATGTGTTCCTTTTTTCTCATTCCCTTCCTAAAATGCCCTCTCCACACAACACGGCCCAAGGCATTTTGTTCAGTCCACCTTAATACCTGTATCATTCAATTCCCCCTTGCACACATCTTTATATCACAGTAGTGGTCCGCTTTGACATCTTCTACCCGTCTTTAATTCACCATAGAGGATGTCCTCTTCCATCCTCCAGGTGTAACCCAGCTGGACTGATAATAGCAAGGAAAACAATAGCCAGAATAATTAATATATATAGCAATGATAAGAACTTAAACAGATAACAATATAAAGAATAAGTAAAATATAAAGAATAAGGTCTTGTAAGGATTATAAAAAGCAAGAATAAGGCAAAACAAAGACACAAGCTAATGAAATCAATAACTAATAGCTACCACAGCTTCCAAGGGTTTGTGCTGGGGTGGAGGATGGCGACGCAGTATTGCCTTGTCAGGGAAGCTGTTCTTTATCTTGTGAGCCACAGCCATGTTGGCCAATAACATAAACTCTTCGATGAGTCTGGATGAAAAAACACAGTGGTTATAGATGATAAAGATGACAACACTGTTTTAAACAGTAACATCAAAAGAGAAAGCAAACTGAGGAAGAAGCCTGACCAATAGGGAACACGTGCAGACAGTCGCGGTGAAATGCCAAAAAGGACTAAATGCTCTCAAGATTATGGCAGCAATGGACATGAAACAAAGAATGCTGTTCACAATGTTCCAGCATGTGATCCTTTTGGTGATAGATTACAGACTTGGAATGCTTACCATTATCAAAAAGTCCACTCATAAAGCTTGAACGCATTCGGGATAAAGTTATGCGGGTAATTCTCGGATGTACAAGAGATACCCTGGTAGTATGTATGTGATATATACTTGCACTGCCTACTATTGGAGATAGGCTTAAAGTTCTGCAGGAAAAGTCATATCTCAGAGTAGCTGCAGACAAGAAGCACTTTCTGCATGAAGACCTGGGTACAGCTAAGGATCACAGACTAAAAAGAGGAAGGTTTTGGATGGTGCAAGCTGAAGACACAAACTGGACATGTGTGCAGGCTTGATAAATTTGAGCGAGGAGAGGAGGGAGTGGGTCAAGGTGTCCAAACAAGTTTCAGACTTTTGAAGGGTTATAATCACTTTAGGTTGTGAGTGCAGAGACTGGCCAGCTGGTGCTGCAGAATCAGAAGTTCAACAAATGATTCATAACAATTCCCGCTCAAGTGATGTAATACATATGGCTCTATGTTGAGGGGCAGATGAAGTGCATGGGAGTTCATGGCAAAGTAGAATGGATGTCGCTTAGTGCAGTAAAGCCTTGCATATGATATCACAACGTGTAGTAGGTGGAGGTAGTCTCTGCTGCCTTCCACTGGCTTGAGAATTAGCTGTACACACATACCGTGATTGTAACTGACTCACAGAGTATGCTGAGAAAGGTGAAGACAAGCATGCTTCGTGCAGAATGGCAAATCACTTCAGAGGTACCGGGTATTTAGCAACCTTTGGATATTTTCTCCAGGTCATGTCGGTGTGTAGGGAAATGAGCAGACAGATAGACTAGCTGGCTCTGCACCACTTAGTGGTGTATTGATGTATGACAAGCTAGATGTTGTGAGGGCCCTCTGGCAGCGAGTGAACAATGCGGATGCGCAGATAGATCATTATGGTCTGAAAAGAATGGCGCTGCTGAAATCAGATGTGTTGGCCTTAAAGGCACATATATCACAGCCTAGTTGTAAACCACAACACAATGTACCAACCACTCTTTTAAGGGTGAATGCATAAGAAGAAGTGCTAAAGTATGCTAAGACCAAACAATAAAAAAAAAAAAGTAACAACCTATTGCTATCTTTCTGCTGGTAGACAAAGTATCCATTGGGCAGTCCAGTCTCACCGTCCAGCGTGTACTGCAGCTTCACCTGGTCTAGTCTCAGAGCACCATTGTCAAACCGCTGCTTTCTCAGGTTGACAGCAATCTAAGACATTCAAATACAACAAAAACTTTCTCAGGTTTACAGCAATCTAAGCCATTCAAATAAAAAAAAACTCTCAGGTTTTTAGCAATCTAAGCATTTGAATTCAAGAAACAATGCTCACCATAAAGACAAATCATTGCATAATCTATTAATAATACAAATAATATGAATAGACAAGAGTTACTTGTATGCAGACTTTTAGTTCCTCGTCACTTAGGCAAATGGACTCTTGACTTCGCAGGAAAACTCCCTAATTTTTCACCATTTACGACATGCTTGTTAGGGATGCAGTTAGTCCCTAGAATTCACAAGGCGACGCTAATGTTTTATAATGTTCCAGGGCCCCACTGTGTGAAAAACAAGAATAGACGCACTGCCTCCCTAACATGCATGTTATAGAAGTTGTTTAATTGGCAGCTTCCTTTGACGTCGAAGTGCATCTGCCCGAGCGGCAAAAAAACAAATAAATGCAGATAAATAAACCAGCAAAATGGATGTTCATGTAAAACTCTGGCCCTGGCACAAAGTCAAAGTTTATATCGATAAACAAGCAGGACTTTCCAATGAAGCTTACAGGTGGTGAACAAAGAAGAAGATATGCCTGATGTGGCAGTGGTGTAAAAAGGGTGCTTTACTTGGGATGACAAGTGCAATTTTTAATGGAGATCCCTGAGGATCATCATCGGAGCTATAGAATTTATGCTCTGTGCAGCACTCTCGGCAGTGGCCAGCTGTTCTGCGGAGAGAGTTACAAGGAATAAAACAGCTGCAATGAAGTCAATCTTCTCAGATTTAACCTCAAATATATTTAGACAAAGTACAATATTACCATAACATCAACATCACAATATACTAAATCCTATCAGGCAGGTCAGTCAAATCATGCTGTTTTCCTTTTTCATCCAACAGGCAGGCACACAGACTGGTTGGTTCTGTATCAATGGGTGGTGAATTAATGCATAAACTAGATGTGGTCAAGGCCCTCTGAGAGCAAGTGAACAAATGCGGAGACACAAACAGATCACTATGATCTGGAAATAATGATACAGCTGGGAGTGACTAGGAGATATGGTCGACACTACACGCAGATGAAAGACAGGACAGACATATATATAAAACTGCTATGGGCACAACTGGAACCGGAACTGTTTGCTGCCTGCTGAAGATAAGGACAGAGCATTTATGGCAGTGGTTCTCAACCTTGCTAATGCTGCGACCCTTTAATACAGTTCCTCATGTTGTGGTGACCCTCATCAACCATAAAATTATTTTCTTTGTTACTTCATAACTTCAGTGAATATGTGTTTACCGATGGTCTTAGGCCACCCCTATTCATTTGACCCCCAAAGGGGTCACAACCCACAGGTTGAGAACCGCTAACTTATGAAAATGTCCCTGAGTGCTGTGATGTCAGTTCTTAGCTCCACACTCATTTCTTCATCACGCCCTCTTCAATGTTAATGAACATGAGCTAAAAGAGAATAAAAAGACAAAAAATACCTTGTTTAGTAACAGAACTCTGGACTTGACATCTTCAACATCAAATGAGTTGGTAATGGAGGGGAGCTCTGTTCGGGTCCAAACCTTATCTGGCTGTTCAATGAACCCCTAGGAGATAGGAAAGAAAATATGGTTTCTGAGTTTCTTAAATCACATAACTATGAGTGACACCTGTGTTGGAGAATTAGTTACAAAGCAGCAGGAATGGTGGGAAGTGTTTGGACCCACATTTTGTAATTTTTTATTCTTTTCCTCTTGTTACCTCAACTAAGTTTGCGAGGGAGATGTAAGGATCTTCTGTAAGCTTTTTTCTAAGGTGTTGTATGGGAGGGCTTCAAATGAAAAGTGTCATTATGACGTCACCCTGTTTGTCTGCACTGTGATATCATGTGCTTAACATTCTTGGCATCCTTAATAAAAAACAGTGACAGGTTAAAAGACAATGTCATGGTTACTGTAATTTCTATCACACTTTACAAGCTTTCATTCGGAGACTTTGTATGAGTAAAAAAATAATAGATTTAAAGGACCCTTTTCCAAGACTTCAGGCAGACTAGGCATATAGGGCTAGATCTATATTTTATAGACCAATCAGCAATCGGTGGGTGAAGTGGTAAACATCATGCCGGCCACCTTTACTTCCAAAGACTACCTCTGGTACCCACTCAAGACTGGGTCAACCTGGGAGCCAAGGTAAATTATACATTTTTTTTTTTTTTTACAGTCTGGCTCCGTCAAACCCACAACCTACCGATTTGCAGCGGGGTGTCTAGCCACTACACAACAGTGGCTTCCCCACACTCCCCCAACCCCTCGTATAAGCTGGCATTCATTTCTTTAAATGTTGTTCTTGATGCCATATTTGTGGCAAAAAAGAGATAGGACTTGCATATAAGCTTGACTTACGGTATAGCTAATGCTCATGAATTTCACATGGATGTGTTGTGTTAAATGTGGACATTCTTGAAATAAAACGATAAGAACATGCATTTCTGAGCGTACAAGTCTTCGATAGACCCCATACTGACATAGCCATCTTGTAATGACCCTGCTTTGCATGGCCTCCACGCCCACAGCAAGTCAAGCAGAAAATTCTTGCAACAAACGACCGCATGAGGGACTTGGGGCTAGAAAGGTGAGGGAAAGTCCGAGGCTGACTCGTGGTCAGTTGTGTACCAGAGTTGGAAGAGAACAGTTGTGATGCTGTCAATGTAGTTTAAATGAAGTGCAGTCAACATTGAGTAAATGATTATTGTGGCATAGTTGTGGAAGTGAACTGCGATGTTTGTGGTTGAGTAATTGTGATGGAATAGGGGAAATAAACTGGCAGAATAAATATTGGAATTCGAGTGGCGTTCCAGTTTTGTCAATTGTTGAAAGATGTATTTGATTCAGAGTGAACGAGCTATATTAGAAGTGACCCAGTTGTCTTACACATCTGTTTGTGGTAGTACATATGCAAGGAAAGCAAGGACAGTCTAATTGAGCCAGTGAAGTGAAATTAACTTCCCTGCATAAAAGAATACTGTCAGCTTGCGTACCATCAGGTGTTTGTGCAGCGCTTTTTTTTTTTAATCTATCATGAAAAGATATCAAACCAAACAAAGAGTAGAAACAGTCAAATTCCCATTATTACAAGCACAACTGACAAGTAAATGTTGCGTCTAGAAAGCCTTCATCAGCACTTCTTCTCAAAGTCCATTCCATGTGGCCTTGGTAGTCATGTCTATCCACAACTTTTTGTCTCGTGTTCTTTCAATCAGCGCCGACATATATGATCTTCCATGCCATGATGTCAAACAGTCTAGCATCTTTTCTCTCGGTCTCCCTCTGCCTTCCTCCCCTCCAACTTTCCTGCAGTCCCGATGTACTCCAGTTTTCTCCTTCTCATCACATGACGAAAGTAAGTAGATTGTCTCTTTCTGATGTGTGTAATCAGCTCTCTTCGTGAGTCAGTTTCTTTCAAGACATATTCATTAGTCTTTCTATCTGTCAAAACTATGTTGTTAACATATCGCAGGTTGTTAGCATATCGCAGGTTGTTAACAATATGCTCAACAACCTATCATCCTGGCCCACCATGTCAAACCATATCAGCACACAACATGAATAAATAATAATTAGTTACAAACAAGAGTCCACAAACAAGAGTCCACAAAAACACCTAACTGGGTTTTCTCTGAGAAAAATTGACATGTCTGGTCAGTTAAAATGTCCCCATTTGTTCCTTTATTTCTCTGACCCAAGTGAGTTCTAGCGCAAGGACAATCTGGTTATACTGCTACCCAAGTGAGTTCTAGTGCAAGGACAATCTGGTTGTACTGCTACCTAGGTGAGTTCTAGTGCAAGGACAATCTGGTTATACTGCTACCTAAGTGAGTTCTAGTGCAAGGACAATCTGGTTATACTGCTACCTAAGTGAGTTCTAGCGCAAGGACAATCTGGTTATACTGCTACCCAAGTGAGTTCTAGTGCAAGGACAATCTGGTTGTATTGCTACCTAAGTGAACTCCAGTGCAAAGGACATTCTAGTTATGTTACCAGGATTTTTCTGATCTCTCCTACTAAGGATGTGGCCAATATATCACCGTCTTCCATCCTACAATAATGCCATGCCCCCTTTTTCTCACATCAAAAACTGCTCTTACCTGGGCATGATCGTAGCTCAGCTTGACACAAGACCTGATCACCGACCTGCCATACCATTCATCATAGATCTGCAATATACAGGAAAAACAATAATATCCAAAAGGTAGCTCTTTGCATTCCCATTCTTCTTCTTCTGTGTTCTGTTTAAAAAAAAACATGTGTGGTTTTCAGCTAGGCTGCCATATCCATGCCTTTTGACCCAACACATCCAGTTTCAGCTAATCCCTAATAAGCTGTTTTTTACAACATGCTTGTTCGGAAAAGTGGCAATGTGCCTGTTCCCCCCCCCCCCCCCAACAATAACCCAGAACCCACTCTGGGAAATTTTCAGTTAAAAGTATCTGAAACATGAATGAGCATATTAGCATTTTAAAAAAATCTCTTCTTCTTTGCATTTATCGGCAGTAAACTCCAGTGGAAAGTTCTGGTTGTTTGTCCACCACTAGACTTGTCTTGTTCCAGTACCTGAGTGCTGTTTGCCTATCCGTTTGACACACCTTACTTTTTTGTATGCAGATTGTTGGTTCCTAGCCTCTCAAGGCAGATGCACTCCAACTTTGAAGGAAGCTCCCAGAACTCTTACGACACGCTTGTTAGGGAGGCAGTGGGTCTATCTTGACTCCCCCCCCCCCCCCCCCCCCCCCACTTGGGCCGCATAACTGACAGGAGAAAAATAATATCTGAAACAATTCTTTGTGTGCTGCTATAAAAAGGAAAAGGGTTAATATGGGAAAGGAGGGGGGGGGGAAGAGGAGGGGGGGGGGGGGAGAGGAGGGGGGGGGGGAATATTTTAACATAGCTGTGATATATTTTTTACATATTAAGGAAATTGTTTAACACAGCATGAAAAGTGCTTAACAAAGCACCAAAATTAACAAATGCAGACTCTGTGCCTGGGTACTGAATAAGATTATAATTTCTTAATCTAGAACGAGCTCTGATCTCAGCAATAGTGTAATTCCCCCCCCCCCCCACCCCTCTTTCAATCCCCCCAACAGATGCCATGGTGATTATGACAATACTTATCCAACAGGGGATGTCACTCACCATGCCTTGTTCATCAATAGTCCACATAACTGAGAAGGTCAGTCTGTCATGGTCAGGGTTGAGACTGCACAGCTCTTCACACAGCAGACGTGGCAGCATAGGGATAACCTGATTTGTTTCATCAAAAACAAGCAATGTTTTTTTTTAAACATCTAAGGCATATCACACCATGCATACTATTCTAAACTCGAATCTGTAGGGACTAAGACTCAAATTTGTAGGGACCAACTGGTACTCAATGACTGATTTGGTCACAAAATTTTGCCTGCCACCTTTACTTCCCAGAACATCACCAGGTACTCAATTTAGACTGGTTCGACCTGGGAGCCAAGGTAAACTTTGAAAAAACAATCTGCCTCAACACAGATTCTTCACAGTTCATAAGTGTCTGGAGTATCTGTTATATTGTAATTCATGTTATACTGTGTTAAATTGACTAGCACAGGATTACTGTCAAGTCTGGGGGCTTTAGAAGTAGTGAAGTCAGGCTAAGTTGCACCTAGGAATGTTTATTAATTCTGCAGTGCCATCATTTAAGTTGCTTCACCCCGGAAGAACTGGTTGGATGTTCATTGGAGCTGCGTGATTCAGCCTAGACCATTGTGAGCCAACATCTCAAATTAAAACTACTTTGGAGTGCCTTTTAGGCGAAACCCTAACAAAGGTATGTGACAGCATTTTGTGAAAATCACACTGTACAATAAGGTTAGTTGAGTATTCTTTTCAGGATGGTGCAGAACCAACCCCAGCAGCCTATGGCTGTTGTGTGGTTTCTCTAGACAAATTTACGTCCAGTATTTTGCCATTGTTTTCTGGACGGTCGGCCCCCTGATACCACTGTCGAAACCAATGAAAGGCGCATAGCCCGCAGCTGGGAACGAACCCGGCACTACGAAGCGTTATCGACTTAGCCACAGAACAAACACATTGTACAATACTGGTCTTATTTTCAGTTCTGTTTTGTGTGAAATTCTAATTTAGTTGGCATCACATATGCCTTATTATCGAAAAGTTGTGCATTCAATCCCTACATAACTTTTAACTTCAATTTTTTTTTAAAGTATAAATTTTACATTTTATTCGGCAATGAATCACCCAAGTAATAATTTGGAAGAAAAAAGTAAGTAGACTTAGTCAAGAATACATTTTCTTTCACTATCCCTAGTGAAGCTGGGCAATTAAGTGAGTTTCTACTGTTTTCTTTCTGCAACGGTATATCTTGGTGCCGTCATAGTGCATCTGTTTTTCAGCACTTTTTCACCCACTTCCCTAGGGTGAATATGTTTAGGTGTACAAAATAGAGCCCACACCGCTGACACATATCTTTTGCGTTTGGGGGGATAGAAAAGTATTCAGCACAGGGGAAGGCTCAGCAGGGAACTTGCTTAGTACAGTGGTAACTGGTGGCTGTGGAGTGCGTAGCAGCAAAAGGGTTTGAAAGGACTTTTGTCTGGTCACTTATAATTTCTGTTGGATCATACTGTTCGTTCTACTTCTTGACAAAATTAATTTCTCAAAATAAGTATCCACGTATGGCTGACCTTCTGCACCAGGTAGACACTTGTTGCCCGCCTGGAGGCCACAGAGTCCAGCTCTGTATCCTCCTTGACAAAGTAGCTGACATCTGCAATGTGCACACCAACTTGATATCTGCCTGTAGATGATACAGTAGTACTTTCATTAAAACTGTTACACAAATCTCTTTCCTTTTTTCAGCTGCAAACTCTGGTGGAAAGTACAGGCTGTTCATCCACTTCAGCACTTTGGTCTTGTTCCAGGACTTGCGGGTTGCATGCACATCCCTTTGATAGATCTGGCTTATTTGTGTGTGTGCAGACTGCTGGTTCCTTGCCTCTCAGGCAGATGCACTCTGAGGTCAAAGAAAACGCAGACACTATGTATGTTGGCCAGGCTCCTGTTGTTAAACCTCCTTCTAGGCTGACCACCGAGAGGTCTAGATAAATCTGAACAAGTATCAGCCCTGATTTTGGTGCAACACGGCGTGTAGTTCAGTACCTTTTTTTATCGTGTTATAGAAAGGGGTCTCCGTGGCGAAGTGATCAAGCCGTGTGCCTTGCGCTCTAAAGGCTGTGGGTCAAGCCATCTGCCTTGTGCTCTAGGCTGTGGGTTCATTTGTTCAGTTCGTGAATGCTATTTTTTTTAACTTAGATCCCTGGGGACCATCACCGTAGGTATGGTGTTAATGCTTTGTGCAACGCTCTTGCCAGGCAGCTAGCCGTTCTGTTGAGAGAGACTGAGCTCCAAAACATATAAAGGTCTTAGACTACTACCGCTTCGTGAACGTCTACTTTTCAATAAGGCAAAATATACTTACAGAATATTATCTCAAAAGGCTCCATGTTACTTATGGCCGTTGTTCAAATATAATGAACGGCATAGTAAGCGTCTAAACATATTGCACATCCCTAAACCTAGGATAGACCTTTATAAAACAAGTCTGTCATATTCCGCAGCTCAATTGTGGAACTATCTACCACAGCAAATCAAAAGTACCACTAGTCCATATACATACAATCGGAAACTGTTCGAATATTATCTGAGCACCGATTTTATGCCCCCATAGAAGATAAAACATATGTGAAAAATAGCGCTCATTTTTCTTAGATTTGTTACAACTAATACGTTTTACTGTAGTTAGAAATGTGCACATTCCAGTGCTTGTATTGATTATTTTGATGCTATTGCTAACTTTTAATATTACTTGATGTGTGAATGAAATGATGTAAGAATGGAGGGAGACCTCGAAGGGCAGAATGTTAGACGGGCCTGCGTGCCCAATTCTTAACCCTTTAAAAATAAAGTTTGTTTCTTCGTTCATTCGTTCGTTCGTTGAGAGAGACTGAGGCATATGGGATAAAATCTGATGCAACGAAGTCAATCCTTTAAAAATTTTTTTTTTTTAGAAAGTCAAACCATAGGCTTAGTTTGAACAGCTTACAACTGGGTAGGCTACTCTTGACAAACTCTCTACTCTCGACAAAAGTCGAAGTCTGGTTGTTTGCTGAAAGATGCAAATACTGCAGCTATGCTGTAAACAGGCACAACACAGTTACAAAAAAAAAAAAAAAGAGAGAATTTACAACAACAAAAAAGTTATGCTTATTGTTAAACTGTAAAATGACATTTATAATAGTGCATGCATTCCTAATGACCAATTGAAATCTAGATTTATTTATCTGCCAAAGAAACCAGGCACTTTAAAATTTATAGACTACCACAACATAAGTCCAATGAGTCATGAGATAAAAATGTTACTGAGAACAATTCTGAGAAAAATAAGAACCAAGATTAAACCAGAAGTTAGTGAAGAAAGTGTGGATTTATAGAAGGAAAAGGTATAAACAGTGCTGTATACATTCTTGGGACTCTTTTGGAAAAAGCTATAGAAGTAAAAAAAAACAAAAATGATCTTCACTTATGCTTCATATACTATTTGAAAGCATTTGACTGTCAAACACGACGAAATAATCAAGCTACTGAAAAAGTTAAACACTGATGGAAAAGACTTTCAAATTATAAAGAACATATATTGCCAGCAAACAGCAGCTTTAAGAATTAATAACCATTTGGGTACATTTCAGAGAATAAAGAGGGGAGTACGATAAGGATGTCTACTATCACCAGATTTGTTTTCATTATACAGTGAATATTATTAATGAGATCTATCATGGCAATGCCAGGAACTGTCCTTTGGTGGTCATAACACAAACAAAAATATGAAACAAATGAAGGAACAAAAAAACTTTATTTTCAAAGGGTTAAGAATTGAGCATGCAGACCCGCCTAACATTCTGCATTTCTAGTCCAATCCTTGCAAACAGTGATTTATTCCTACATAATTTCACAGTTAATAGTTCAAGGTGACTGCACTAGCTATGCAGCCCTCAATCGAGACCTCTTTGTTCTAGTAGTAAAAAAAAAAAAAAAAAAAAAGTAAAGGACTTTCAAAGGGCTAGATCTATATTTGTATAGACCAATTGGCACAAGATGGGTGATGTGGTCAGCATCACGCCAGCCGCCTTTACTTCCCAGGACTGCACCCGGTACTCAAGGCTGGGTTAACCTGGCAGTCAATGTCATTTTTGAAAAAAAGGCTGGTTCTCCTAGGGAGCGAACCCACGACCTTCGAATCCGCACGCAAGCGTCTAGCCGCTATGCCAGGACCCCCACCTATGGCCTCTATAATGTTATCAGTTAATTAAACACTACAAATGAGGATAGGTTTCAAAGAACTGTGGGTGTCTTATGTGTGTACAGATAGCAGGTACATGTACAAGCATACGTGTATGGGTGCATTTTTTCCTGAAGTGTAAAACTTTGGTCTGGCTGATGTTATTTCCTAATCTCAGTGTAAACAAGAAACAGGGCAATTTTAAAACAAGTGGTCATCATAACCGTCAAGTACCTTGCCAGTTGGCACAGGCGTTCATGCATCTCCACAGATCTCAGTCTTTGGTGTTCTCGATCAATTCCACTCATCATATTCCTCCATGTCACTGTCTTAAGCCACCCACCATCATTTCACTTGATCTGCTACCAGTTGTCACGATATGTTCCAATGCTCCTTTTCTCATCACAAGACCAAAGAACTTTGTCTCCTTCTGACGGTTGTATATAATGTTCTACTTTCATTAGCCATTTCTAGGCAATCACTGTTAGTTATTCTGGCAGTTCAAAGTATTTGTAACATTCTTCTCAAGAACCCCTTCTCAGTTGCCACCAAACTCTTCTTAATTTCTTAAAGCAAGTGATGGCTAACTTTAAATAACAGAAAAGGGGTGAGGCCAGGCAAAATTACACAACAATGAGTCAAAAAAGCTGATCTAGAAACTGACATCTCAGCACTCAGGACATTCCCTTAAGCGCTCGGTCCCTATGGTCAGAAGCCAGTGTAGACTTCCAAATCGGAAGGTTACCAGTAGCAGTCTGACTGCATGTCCATCTTGCCTTTACCTTGAGTATTGAGTGTCGGCCAGATCCCCATCTCACTCCCCCGATGCAACGTTCTCTTCAGATGATCTATTAGTGTCTCTGCACTGTTCACACTCTCCCATACAGCCTTGACAACACATTGCTTGTCATGCATCAGTTTACCGTGGGGTGCTAAGAACCAGCCAGTCTGTCTGCCTGTTCATTTCTCAACATACATGCCTTGGAGAAAATATCCAAAGGAAGCTAGTTGGCAAAAAACCTCTGAAGTGATGTTTGCCACTCTGCATGAAGCACACTGGTCTCCACCCTTCTCAGCATGCTTTTTGAGTTTATTACAAACATGACATAATAGGGTGCAACTAGTTCCCAACCCAGTGGAAGCCTGCAGTGACTGCCTCCACCTCCATTCTCTAACTAAATGTTGTGGTAGCATATGCCAGGCTTTATGCACGAAGGGTCAGCCATTCACTTTTGTTATAAATCCCTATGCACCTCTTCTGCCTCGTAACAAAGAGCTAACTGTTTAGATAACATCATCTGAGTTTGAATTTATCAAAAATCAGGTGAACTTCTGATTCTAAAGTGCCCACAGGCCCATCCTGCACTATCAGCCAACTCTGATTAGAACCTTATACAAGTCTGACCAATGAAGAAAAATATAGCAGAAAAGAACTGGTCTAGCAAGTTGTCAGACACTGAGGGATATACTGAGGCCATCCGAGCACTTACAGGACTGAATGGTTATGATTTATCTAGCTAACAATGCAAACAAGAAAATCTTTTTCTTGTTCGCATTCATGGATATAGACTGGCAGAAAGTTCTGGTTGTTTATCCACTTTGATCTTGTTTAAGAATTTGTGTGCAGACTGTTGATTCTTTACCTCTAAGGCAGATGCAGGCCAACTTTAAAACAACTTTAAAAAGAAACCCCCTAATTACTAACTTTTTACTACATGCTTGTGGTGGGTGGGGGAGTGGGGTTTAAGTGGCTGCAGTAGGTTTATCTTTTGCTGCTGAAAATTGGGCCCTGGAAGCCACATAGGGAGCTCCTGGACACAATTCACATGTACCCTCTCTTTGGTAATTCTATAAATCAATAGTGACATGGGAGAAGGAGGGGGGGGCAGCTCAGATTGTGGGTGACATAAGATTATTTAATGCCCTAGAAAGATCTAGCTGGCAGTCTCCAAGGAACTGTGTGCCTGTGGAGTGAAGAACAAAGCACACGCATATCTGGAGGAGGGGGGGGGGTGCCTGTATGTGTGTGTGGAAGGACATTTAATTTGATTTGCACAGGAACAGCACGTATGGGGGGGGGGGGGAGAACCCAAATGCAGGTGGAGTTGAAATATCCACTAAGACTAAGACAATGATGATGAATCCATGGAAGAAACTTATTTCTGATCAATCGATCGACTGATATGTCCCCTCCAGGCTGCTTTGAAGTTGTATCACCTTGCAATTAAAAACAACCACAGCTGGCTTTCATCTGAGGATGTAATTGCATTCTGCCTATTGACAGCATGGCTTCGATATTTTAGCCTTTCAGCCAAAACATCTGACTTCAGGCATATGATGCCTAGGTGCGCCTTTCCAATTAATTTCAGTTTCGTGGGACATTGCCTAAAGTGGCTTCCGGGAATATAGAGCAGATATGTGGTGCTCTGATACAGGGTACTGCTGGGGTGACCATTTGTTAA